GTACGCCATGTTTGTGGTGTTACTGGGGTGCCAGGCACTTCGATCTTGAGCTGCATATCTCCAGTATAGTGTGCGAGACGAAAAATAATTTTTCGGGCAAAATTAGTATCTCAAAAAAAAAAAGAATTATTTAATGGTCAAGAATGGCTCATAAAAAATCGCGCCAAAAATAGGAAAACTGCCAGGACTATCAGCTAGGGTGCCCCATGTTAGTGATGTTACTGGGGTGCCAGGCACTTCGATCTTGGGCTACTTTTCTTCGATGGTCGCCCGAGTGGTCATTTTCTTTCTCGCACCTACTGCTCACCACTAATGCACGACGTCCATCGGTTGTCAGCAAGACGAGCAGTATGTCTTGTCCATCGAATTTTACTTTCTCACGCGATCACAGTAACTTTCTGCGCACCGCTCATTGATGAAGAAACTAATGAAAAGACGCGCCAAGCATTCTTTGCTCCATCGAATCCTCGTGAAATTAAAGTAGCAGTCTTTATCGAACGCTAGGCTGGAGCACGCTAGGCCTGCCGGTGCGATCGTGCGTTTTTACACTGAATTGAAGCAGTCAGATCGTTAACTGTATGAGTAGTTGCTGCTTTACGCTTACCTTGTGCGCTCATTAGCGTAAATCATCGTAAATTTTGCATAAAGGAAAATGAACAATTTTCGTTGAACGGTCGTTGTTTGAAAAAGTATGACCTAGCTGTTCAGTGAGCAATTTTCCCGCCAAAACTTTCAAGTGTCTCTACTTGGAAGCTACGCATATTTGGAGGTTGAATATGAAATCTTTAAGTTGTACGTGTATGGGGAACCATTCCCTTTAAACTCATAGTCTGAGCCTCCATCTATGAAGCTGACAAATTCTCAATTATCTCTATCCTTATGCTTTATGCATCTACGTCACTCCAAAGTATTCGAATTAACTATTGGAAAAAAAAAAACGAAAACATGCATGCGCAAAAATATACAGGTACACAGATACATACATACAGGCATACGTGTAAATAAAGACACGCACGCAACACATGAACACACCCACATAAACATGCACACACACACACACACACACATGAAAGCATACACCTACCCACAAACATACATACACACACATAAACACAAAAGCATACATACACGCAAATATGCACAGAAACAAATACGCACATACACACACATACATCCATCCACTCATAAATACCCACTAAACAAACATGCATACACACTAACCTACTCATATACACACACATAAGCACACACATGAGTACACACACACACACACACA